TCCTCTCACAGGGCAGAGACAATGTAGGGTTGTGATGGGGAGGGGACCTTCATTCTTGACCTTGATTCTGACCATCAAGAAGCAACGATATTGTTTGTAGCAGGATTTTGAGTGCAGCTTTTCCTGCTGAGGACGTAGAGGCAGTAGGTACCTCACATTCTAAAGAACCAAAACCCACTTGGGGCCCAGTACATCCTCCAGGGTTTTACCAGGAGGCCACACTATCCCTGCCATGTTCAACGACAGACCCCATTGCTGACCGCCATCCCAGCTCGCGTAAGAAGACTGTGAGGGGGTGAGAAGGGTGATGATTGCCCCCGCGAGGGGCTGGCCTAGGGGGGCTTTTCTCTTTTCGTCGGCGAGTTGAAAGCTTTTGTGGAGGACTGCTGTGGCTAAACGATGTTACAGGATTCACAGAAAGTGGGTTCGGGGCTTGGCTCACTGTCAGGGCTGGAGGCAGAGACAGCTGCCTCCTTCTCCATGGGGTGTGGCTCTCGGAAATAGAGGAGATTAGGGTAAAGCTGAACCTCTCCCCTCAAATCCCCTGCACACCGACTGTTTGGATAGCATCGCATCAGCAGAGGCCTCTGACGTCAGATGGAAAGCAATGGACCCAGAGGGAGAACGTGGCGCCTACCCTTCCCCCAACTTGTATGAGAAGATGTCTTCTTCCCTCCTCTCTCTCCCTCAACACCCGTGTAGTCAACCTGGGAAAGGTAAGGGGTGGAGGAATACTGGAACCAGAACTGGCCTGGAACATGAGACCCCCACTCCCACCCTCCCAGGTGCTGGAGGAGGAAGAGGAGCCACAGGGCAGAACATGCCCCCCCTCCATCCCCAAGACCCCCCACCCCACATCTGAGCTGATGAGGGATGGGGACACGTTTCAAAGGAGAAAAGAGATTGGCATTTGAAATGGACTGACTCTGCTTATGGAAAGTGACAAGAAACTTCTTTGGTCTGTCCAAGGTGCCATGAAGAGAAAGCAGAGAATTGTCAGAATGTGGTTGAAGGCAGTTATTATAAAAAAACAAAACAAAACTATTTCTCAGTTGTTCCTCACTCAGTGGAGAAGTGCACATGTGGTCAAAGAAACGAGACCCCAGCGAACAGCAGGAGCTTGTGCACCCGGTGGCTGTACGTGTGCTGGGGACTTGGAGGAATAAGGAAGTGTTTCCTCTTCCAGGAAGAGATTCCGGAAGACTGGATCTTTTTGAAGAGAAGATGGATTTTCTATATTATAAACCAGTGCGTATAATGTGAATACAGGGCAAAATTTTAAGACAAATTATTGACGTGGTCATCTGGAGCACTTAGGAGTGAAGAAGAGCACTTGTTCTTGTTCGCTCTTTGTGAACCAGAGCTCACAAAGAATAAGCCACACCTTACAAACCTCCATTCCTTTTGAAAAGGCTTACGCTGCTGGGCCAGTGGGGGCACACCGCAGAGCGATGTATCTGTACCACTGGGAGTTATTTGACTCAGTGTATCGCTATTTTCTGGAACAGTAATAGGAACGTGAGCTGGATGATGAGACAGTTAGAAGGCTCAGTAATTAGTTGAATACAACAATTCCTTGTTTAATGATTGCCTTATGCCCAACACTGGGCTAGGGGCTTTTCATACATTATCTTCAATCTTTGAATAGATTGACCTTTCAATGCTGAAAGGTCAGCATTATTATCTTTGTAGACAGATGAGGAAAATGAGATGATGCAAGATGAAGACATTTGTCCAAAATCGTCCAGCTAAGAGGCAAAGCTGGGATTCAATGGGAGATCAGGAGTCGGCGGTTTTTTTGAACATGCAAACTCAGTTCATCTGTTGATTGATTTCAGCTTGGTAGAGGGTCTTCTTGTGATACTTTCTAATGACGTCAGTAGCCTGAAAATGGAACCAACTCCTTTGGGAGAAGATGAGCTCCCTGGAGAGAGGGCAACGAAGCAGAGGCTGGTCCACCCTGGATGTTGCAAAAGAGCTTCAGGGAGGGAATACACTAGGCCTTCTAAGGCTTCCCACGGGTTACGGATCCATGGGTACAGAGGTTTTATAGGCATCAGTCTCTGAATGCTAAACCACGATACCCATACAATTCTTAACTTCTAGGTTCAACCTTCCCATCTCCATTCTCACGGTAGGCTTTCCCCTACATTACAAAAGAAAGCCATACCCCTCACCCATCCCAAATCTGGAGACATGGAAACTTATGGAATACCAAACAAGGGGACAATTCTGAAACTTGGTTTCAGGGAAGTCTTCCTTATTAATAATTGGGGAACCATAAACTCACCATCAGCTTCCTGTTTCTGCTTGTTTTATATATATTTTTGTTACGGGGGAAACATGGGTATAAAATAGGGTGTTTTGGTTTGTATTCACAGGTTCTGAATTTAGAAATATCGAGAAGGGTGGTGGGAATGACGGCAATAATCATTCAGTGACCTGGTCTCCTCCATTCTCAAAATGCTGTCCAGGATTGTACCCTTCTCTAAAGAATCAGGGAAGAGCAAAGCAAAGACAGCATCAGTTAGAACTGTGAATGCTGAAATAGCTTTCTTTCCCCATTCCCATAGTTAAACTAAAATAGTTCTTTTCAGTTATTCTTAAAACTGATCTTTTAGGTCCCTCTAGGTAGAAGAGAAATTGGTATAATTAATAGTTCCTTTAATGTCTTGATAAATCTTTTTCTTATATTTCCCAGAAATTGGGAAAGGGGCTGGCTAATGACTGTGTAACATATATTTTTGAAAATTAGGTACCTTACCTTCTTTGCTTTTGTCAAAATGAAGACCGACCTAAATTGTCAACTAGTAGAGCATTACTAATAATTTTGATGATCAATCATCAGAATGTGACTTTTGGCAACATTCATTGATTTATACCTGAACTACTTGGAAGAAAATCCCTGTTCATTTTATTAAGAAGAGATGTACATTTGATAACATTTTACTTTTAATAATAAAGTTATCAAAATAATAATTAATTGTATACTACTAATAATATAGTACTAATAACTCAATCTAGAATTTTCCTTTCTTTTCTTTTTTCCTACTCTCATTCCCTTCCTCCTTTCCTTCCTTCCATTTTCCCTCCCTCCCTTCTTTCTTTCTTTCCCTCTTCCTTTCCTTCCTTCCTTTCTTCCTTCTACCACTTAGAGCCCTATGGTTGCAAGAAACAAAAACTAAAGAAATTGAATTTATATACATCTCTCTATTGGAGAGAACTATGATAAGAGATCAAGAAAATACTTTCAAACACAAAAATGTTAGCAGGATAAAATTCTGTGGGGATGTGAAATGCAATAGGAATTCAAAGAGAAAAAAGAATGATGCAAAATTTCCCACTGTCCAAGAGGGACTTGTTCTTGTATTTCCAAAAAGGATGGTGGCTGGAGTCAAGTCACTGTGGTATTTAGCTTTCATCGGCTGCCTTTAACATTTTATTAGACATCAACATTACTCTGTGAAAATTTGCAAATTTTTTGCCACTATTTAAACTTAGGAAAAATTTTAGATGTCACTTTTGAAATGTGGTAGAGAGAGTTTTTCAAAATTGTTCTGCAGAGTATGCAGTCTTGGATGTGTGTGTTTTTTTCACACTACCAAGCAGTTCTCCAGTTCTCAGTGGACAGCTACTGGATGTCCTACAATTTAATTCAATTCTGACACTATCTACCTAGAGATACTGTCAGATCCCACAGGTTACGGGCTCAGTCCCAAAAGAGACTGCATCCCCCAACCCCCTTCTGATGACAGTCGCAAGTCCAGGTTGTCACCTGTGCTTTCTCACCGACTGGCTACAGATCGGAGGTTCCCATGACCTCCTCCTCTGGTTATATTAGTTTGCTAGAGCAGTTCACAGAACTGGGAAAAACACTGACTTATGTTTACCAATTTACTATAAAGAATATTATAAAGGATACAGATGAACAGCCAGATGAAGGGGTACATGGGGGAAATCCGACAAGGTCCTGAATGCAGGAGCTTCTGTCACCATGCAACTAGGGTGTACTACTCTTCTGGCATGTGGATGGTTCACCAACATGGAAGGGCTCCGAAGCCCATCCTGTGGGTTTCTATGGAGGCTTCATTACGCAGGCACAATTGATTAAATCATTGACCATTGGTGATTGAACTCAATCTCCCCCACCTCCTCTCCCTGAATGTCTCGGGGTGCGACTGAAAGTTCCAGCCCCCTGATCGCAAGGTGGTTCCCCTAGCAACCGGCCCTCATCCTTAGGTGTTTTTCCAAAAGTCACTTCATTACCATAAACTCAGGTGTAGTTGAAAGTGGCTTGTTACGAATATCGAAAGACAAATTTATCACGCTTATCACTTAGCAAATTTGAAGCGTTTTAGGAGCTCTGTGCTGGAAATGGGGACGGAGACCAATACATAGTTCTTACTATAAATCACAATATCACACAGTCCAAAAACCTTTAACACCACTGATCTAGAGGCCTTAAGCCTAAAACCCTTTTATTATAGAGAAGTGTCTGGAAGTAAATTTGGTTCAAATCCAGCTTACTGAAACACTGGGCAAGTTCAACTTTTTGAACCTCTGCCATCATCTGAGAAATGAGATGCTGACAGAACCTTCTTCGTGGGTTGCGGTTGCTGTGAGGGTAAGGAGGGGCGAGGTGTCTAACGCACTTAGTGCAGTGTCTGGCATATCATAAGGTGTCAGGAAGAAAGAATCATACTCATTTAATAAGTTTTTTGCAGGTGGATCTGGATGGCTTCCACACAGGAGAGGATTTCTTTTGGTGTGCAGAGCATGGTCGGTGGTGGGCGTGTTTGGCTTTGAGAGGTGCGGAATGCTGGGCCACCCAAAGTTCTCAGCTTCTGCAGCGGTTGGGGCTGGGGGGAGGCGGGAGGGAAGTAGGGGCATAGGAGACACTGGAGCAGGGACAACAGATCAGGGGATGGCGGGTGCCTCTTAGAATGTTGGCAGGCAGAGGCTTTCCTGTGTTCTCTGTTCTAACCATTCTAGATCTGTTGGAAGAAAAGGTTGCCAGCTACCCAGAGAGCCTGTGATCCCTTCATAGTCCTGGAGGTCCTACTGGCCAGAGCATCCAGAATTATCCCTGTAGATATTTCAGCTGGACCACTAAACCCCCACCAGGTGGAATGTATTTGGATGGCACACCCTGGTTCCCAGATTCCCAGGGGGCCAACTGCAGAGGTTCACCTGGGTCATTTCATTAACCTCACAATAACGCACTCCTGCAGTCTTTTGGGCACCACTTATATTATGGCAGAGATTTGCATACAGAAATACCAGAATTGGAGGCAGAGTGTTAGGGTGGGGAGGAAAAAGGACTTGAGGGGTGGAGAGGGACCTGCAGAGATGAAATTAGGTTGCAGCTGGTGTTAATCTCTCTCCAGCCAGGAAGAATTTCCCAAGGGAGACGAAAGACTAAGGGACTTTTTCGTTCTTTCTTTTTTAGGAAGAGTAGCCCTAAGCTAACAGCTGCCGCCGATCCTTCTCTTCTTGCTGAGGAAGATTGGCCCTGAGCTAACATCTGTGGCCAAATTCCTCTTTTTTTTAATATGTGGGACACCTGCCACAGCATGGCTTGACAAGCGGTGTATAGGTCCACACCCGGGATCCAAACTGGCGAACCCCAGCTGCCAAAGCAGAACGTGTGAACTTAACTGCTGCACCGCTGGGCCAGCTCCTAAGGGACTTTTTTAGGACACAAACAGAAATTGATTTTGAAGTTGTTTTTCACCTTCTGGCATAACTATGCCTTCTTAACCGTTAAAGCTTCAATAAAAATCTGAATATGTAACGACTTCTTGTTAACGATGCTTTAGGACAGTGGATCTCAACTCGTGTGTGTGTGTGTGTGTGTGTGTGTGTGTGAGAGAGAGAGAGAGAGAGAGATTGTCACCAGGCAGACTGAGAAAATCCCAATGGCCAGTCTGCACTCGGACCAATAATATCAGAAGCTCTGGGGGTAGCATTAGTATTTTTTAAAGTCCTCCAGATAATTTGAAAAATGTGTGGCCAAGGTTGTTAATTGCTGCTTAGGAAAATGAAAGAAGGAGAGAGGTGTGGAGCTCAGGGCAAAGAGTTCAAGCAACAAGGCGGAGGTTGCTTGTGAAGTTGACCATGAGTACACCAAGCAGGCCGCAGCCTCTGGGCAAAGCCTCTTGACCCAGGAAGCTTGTAAAAGAGGACAGACTTGAGATAAACTCTGGTCCTTATTGTCAACATCCATTGTCACTGATATTTCCCTCGAGTTGATCTAACTTTGATTTTTCTGTCAATTTGGAGCTTGACTCCCTTCCAAAGACAATGGAGTCTGGCTGCTGACCAGGAGCTGCGAAACTGCCCCTCTTACCCATCTCCAGCCACGTGGTTTCTGGACATCTTCCCTGGGGAGAGGACAGTCAATAGCTGTGAAGGAAACACATCAGTGAAGGTAGCTGTGCGTAGCTGAGCGCTCACTGGAGAGACAGGCCGTCAGATGAGAGATTGGCGTCAAGTAGTAAACGGCAACCAAAGGAGTCACATAAGGTTAGTCCAACCCTTAATAAAAGGTCCCCACTACCCTGAGTTCTTCACAATCCGGCCTGGAAGGTTTGCTTCCTTTCTTGTCTCCTCCGGCTGGTGACTTCGCCCTGTTCTGTGCTCCTGTAACACTTAATGCCTGGATCATTCTCCTGGCCACCTAACTGGATCCAGGAATGTGCGACTTGGTTAATCAACCACTTCAAGTGAATATGCTGGGTTTTGTCACCAGTCTGCAAAATTGATTTTCTGGGGGCCTGGGGTTTTCAAGACCTCCAAAGAAGATGAAATCTATTTACTGATCAATATATTTTACTCTCCTTCCTTCTGTTGACTCTCCTCCCATCTTCTTCTTTCCCTCCTTCCTTCTTTCCTTCCTGCCTGTGCTTATCTGTGTTTTGAGGACAGTACTATGCATAGAGCACCAATGAAAAACATGTACAGAAAAAAAGCGAAGGGAACAATGGTGCTTTTGGGAATTTTTTCCTGCGCAAATTTATATGCCTGCTTTTCCTGTTCTGTCGCTGTAGAAAGCACCTCATTCTTGCTCATGGCGCTTGGGTGCAAATGCATTGCACCAACGTTGGTGGCATAGACAGGGAGGGAGGACAAAGTTGGTTTAAATTAGGTGGGTCACACAGAAGGACTGGAAACTTCAGTAACTATCAAGAAAGAGCCAATATGATACTTGGGCAAACACACCTGAGTATAAGTTATCAAGTGCAGGGTGAGTTCGGAAAGGAGAGCCTGGGAAGTGACGTTAGAAAGCAGGGCCATCAGGAGCTGGGGAGCAGCAGTGTGAGGAACAGAGGGAGGAGGCAGTTCGGCACCAAGTCTGTGAGTGGGGAGAAAACGCTGCAGTCAACGCTGCAGTCCTCCTGTACTGGCCGTGGGTCGGGCCGCGGGGCCGGGTGAAGGGAGCCAACCCACCCGGGGGTTGTAGATTAGCATCACTGGGGATTTGTAGGTGAGGAAGTGAGTAAGATGGGAGGGCTGGGGACCCCGAGAACCTGCCCTGAGAGCCATGCAGAAGACTCAGAACCCCATTGTGGGCCCAGGACTCGTTCATAAGGGTCCGCTATTCCTGCCTTCCACCTGACATCTCTTCCAAAGCAAATTGCTTTGCACCATGTGTTCCAACACTGAACTAGTCAGCCCTTACTTTTGATCGACTGTAATTGGTATTTGTTGTTTGAGCAAAAGTTGCAAAGTCTGTTATGTTTTTCTTTACATTTTTTCTTTATATTTCTTTATATTTATATTTACGTAATCTGTATTAACATAAATATATTCATATAAATATTCTTGCTATTTTATATCAGACCCCCCTTAACAATTTAATATAATTAAGTCAAGTTATTTTTGAATTAAGTAACACAATGCATATATACTTTCTTTCTAATTCGATTAAAAAATTGGATCTCTAAGTGAATTTTGAGGGGGGTAAAAATGTCTTTAGTGTCTTCTGTAATCACCGCCCTCCCCCCTCCCATGGCTCACTGTCAGCCATAACATTGTACCTCTGTTGAAGCAGAGATCCTACAGGTACGTCCAGCAGAGAAGTAACCCACACGTCCCTGAGCTTGCTGCATGGGTCACCTGTGGTATGTGTTAAAAAACAGAGACTGTCTTGACGGGTCCCAGGACTACTGCATTAGAATTGGGTGGGCACAGGAGGAGGAAGAGAGGAGTTGTTTGAAACCTGGTGGTCCATGTATTCAACTCGTCCTAGATGGTTCTGGACGTCTGTTCATATCATTCCTTCAGGATCTTCTGGCTCCTGTAATCTTTCTCATCACCTGTGATGGTGGTGACTCTCAGAATCTCTGGCTCTCGCCCCCGTCCCTTTCCTAGAGTCCTGTCTTCTGTGATAACAACAGCAACATCAATAACAATTCTGACTGTGGCAAAGATTACCGTGTGCCTGCGACACCATTCATTGGTCTCCTTTTTGAATCACAGGATCTCCATTTTGATGCAGGATAGCAATGAGCCCAGCGTTTTAAGCCTCCACTTTAGCAAGCCCTCACCATGGGACTCAATTCTGCTCAATGAGCTGTGATCAGAAGCGTTTTCGTTGTGCAGGATTTTTGAAAGTAAAGGTAGAGGCGCGAACTTTTCAGTCCATCTCTGCTTGCTGCAGGTGAATGCGTTGGCTGGAGCTCCAGAGCCATTCTGGATCATGAGGCGAAGAGCTGAGGGTGGTGGACCAAAAGGATGGAAACATCTGGGTCTCTGATGTCCAAGGCACCACCATTCCAGTCAAGCTCTGGAGTGACTGCCTCTCGATTTTTATTGCAGGAGACAAAAATAAACATTTATGTGTTTAATCCACTGACAATTTTGGCTTTTTAGTTATTCACAGCTGAATCAAATCTTACAATGATATGTGACGTTTATTGACTATATTGGATGTGTCAGGCACCATGCTAAGCTCTTTACATACATTTTCTAATTTAATCCTCATCAAAATCATTTAAGAGAGACTCTATTTTTACCCCCATTTTATAGATTTAAAAAATTAGGAAGAGGTTGAGTAACTGCTTTAGTGTCGCTCAGCTGGTACATTCTGGAATGGTATTTGGGCTCAGGCAGGCGGAGTTCAGGAACCCGGCCCTCATTTCTGTGTATTGAGGACGTCAGTCTTATGCAGGTCCCTTGATATCAAGAGCTGAGAAGGTCTATGTTCCTCTTGAATGAACTGCACCTCTGTTCTCTTTTTCTCTATTGTTGTTGCTGGGGTAGAGAACTCCTGTCTGAATTTTTTCTGACCCATCCTCCTCAACCGTCCTTCCTCAGAGGATGGAGCGGGGAGAGAGAGCTAAGGAAATGATCTAAGGCAGTGCTCCTAGACTTTTGAATTTAAAGAACCAGTTTAAAAAAAATTAGGTGACTGACAAAGTTCAAAATTTCTTTATTTTTCAAAGTAAGGACGTTAATAAAAATAAACAATCATCTTCCAAGAACAACATTTCATAAAAAAGCAAATTTTCACGTGAAAGAGAGAAAAAATGAAATAGCCACAAAATGGGCAGTCCTTTAAGCCAAATAAAATTAATTATAAATGTAGCATTTGAAAAATACAAGGCAGTATTATTTTTTTTCTCCTGCTCATTTTTTCAAGGACTCATGAAAATGTCATCAGGATTTGGGAAACTTTTGTTTAAGATCTCAAAGAAGGGGTAGGTAGGTAGAAAGTGGAACAGTCATCTCAGGATGTAATCAGACCAAACAATGATGAACGAGTGTGACAAGGTTGCTACTTGACACCAATATCCACTCTCCCTTTCTTCCCTAGTAATACAACCCTGGTTTTCACTTGGGGCAATATTGTGCCCAGCTCAAAGAATATTCATACGTACTTACAGGTAGGGTTGGCCATGTGACTAAATTCTGGCTAATGAGATATAAGCAAAATGTGCATGGGATTTCTAGGACAACACTTCATTGGGGCTCAGCTGCGAAGGGGCCCTCTTGTCTTCCCACACTTTCTCCTTCTGCTGATCCAGGAGGACATGGTGGCTGCTAAGTATAGCATCTCTCTTGGACTGAGGATGGCAAGGCAGAAAGATGGCGGCCTGGGTCCCTGATGACATCTTGGAACCCTGAATGGCCCACCTTTGGCCTTCTTTTACATGAGAGGGGAATTTCATCTTATCTCAGATACCACTTTATTTCTTTCTTGTTACGTGCATCTAATCCCAACCAATATAAAGAGATATATCCAAATCCATTTCAGACAAAGAGAAGCAGAATTGTGTTAGAAAAAGTTCGAGAAATCAACTGACTGATTTGTCAGGAAGAAAATCAGAGCCGGAGCTGTGAAGTGGCTTGCTTGAAGTCATATCGTTCGACATTCATTCTACAAATACTTATTGAGCGTGTCCTGTGTGTGAGGCTCTTGGGCAGGAGCCGGGGGCACAAAGATGAAACAGGGCACGATTGTGGCTTCCCAGAGACTCACAGAACGGACTGTGCACCCAGCACAGTCTCTAGGGTGAGCATTGTGGCAGGCACTGGCCAGTGATCCCAAACCAGGGGCTGAGACCCTGGGGAAAGAAGTGCGTGGGACAAAGAAGAGGGAGGGAGGGTCATAATGCTGATCACCTGGGACTGTCTTGTAACTTGTAAAAACCCCGGGAAGCAAGAGAAGAAATGATTGTCTGTACTTTTGTTGTATTTAAGACTAAAGAGAATGCTCATAGAAAACCATACGGACTTCCATTTTCTCTTTTTCTAACGTGCACATATGTGTGTAAAAACACGTTCAGTCACACACACACACACACACACAAACACACATATACGCAGGAAATCTTTTTAGGATTACATTTCTTTTGCTCCTTTAAAAACCTCTTGTGTGTTTGGGTGCGTGTTTATGTGGTTTGTGTGGAATGGGGGTGGGGTGGAGTGGGGGCAATAAAACAATGCAGTCTCTGGGGGCCCCTGGGGAGAATCTCTGAGTTCCCTGGGATAGGAAGTTCCCTAAGAAAGCAGGAGCCACTTACATTCCCACCAAACAACAAAGCGCATGCAGCCAAGATAAAAGGAGAGTGGGGGAGGAGAAGGGAAAAAAAAAACAAAACACCTCACCCTGGTTTAGGGAAGCAGGTGCACCCAATACAAACAATATCATTTCTTCTATTATTTGTAGAGTTTAGGAACAAAACAAAACAAAACAATACTCCACCCCTCCCGTCTGGGGTGGGGGAACCGCCAAGGATGCTCAGTGTAACAAGATAAAAAAGAGCGTTTCTCAGCATGTGTAACAGCAAAGAAACTAAACTCAAAACTAACAAACAAGAAGAAAAGCCCCAGACTGCCAGACAGTTAGGAAGACTGGGCCAAATCAGGTTAAAAGGACACAAAAATGGTACCTTTGGGCATGTTTGTGGTCAGCCTCCTGTATTGCCATCAGAGTTAATGAAGTGTGAGGGGCACATTGCTCCCGAGGTGTATGGGGCTATCTGCAGCTCTGATACAGTCCACTGACGGATGGAGTTACCCTGGGGTTGCTGCAAATGTGTCATGCGTGTGGGGCACCGGGCAGCAAGGACCACAGGTAGAGTCTGAGGTGGGGATGTACGGTGGGTCTTTGGGGCCCCCTACTTGCACAAGCCCCTTCTGAAGCTTGGGAGGGCCAGAGCAATGGATCTACCTGAGCATGTATTTTTGTAAAATTGGTAAAAAAAAATGAATCATTTTTGTGCACTTCATTTTTTCTAAAGGGATTTTTTTTGGGAGCTTTTTTTTGGTGAGGAAGATTGGTGCTGAGCTAACATTGCTTGCCAATCTTCCTCATTTTTTTCTGCCCAAAGCCCCAGTACACAGTTGTATATCATAGTGGTAAGTCTTTCTAGCTCTGCCATGTGGGACGCTGCCACAGCTTGGCTTGATGAGCAGTGCTAGGTCTGCACCTGGGATCCGAACTGGCGAATCCAGGGCCACCCAAGTGGACCACATGAACTTAACCACTTGGCCACGGGGAAGCCCCTTTTGTGCACTTTTAAGAGGTCCCAAGATTGTATCAGCTTCAGGCCCTATAAAGTCTGGATCTACCCTGAGTGGGCTTTATTAAGGTTTTCACTAAAAGTCTTTTCTTACTCAAATATAACCCCCTGCAGCTCTCAGGGTGTGAGGACGATAATGACACAGGCACAGTGTGTAGCCAAGGCTGGAGGTCCCACCTGGCAAGGCTACGCTGGGACAAAAGCTGTGTTAGGGGAATGAGAAGATCCAAGAGCTGTCCCTTGGGAGCCCCGGTGAGCTTGGGTCTGGGGTCCTATCGGATAAGGGTAGCAATGTGGGCAGATGGGATCTCCCACTTGCTAAAGCCCTCTGCAGTGTCCACAGGGATCTAGGCTGGCTCTTTGGTATTTTATTGGGTAGTATTTTATGATACTTTGGTCAAATAACTCAAGGGTTGAAGAATTGCTCTTCACTTCTGCTACACGGTTGGGTGGCAGTGAGAGGCCTCAGTTGGAGTCCACAGGCTGGCTCTGCCCAAGGATGCAGTCAGGTCTGTGCTTGTCTAGGGGACAGTAGCTGTGGTAGGAAGGACTCAGGCGACAGCAGGAAAGAACTCAAGGGAAGAGGGACCTGAGAAAAACAAGGACAACCAGTCTGGGAAAATTGAGTGTCTTTTCGAATACGAAGTGGTGTCTGTCATTTAGATTTTCTTCCAGCTCAGTCCCCAAGGACGCACGCCAGGGCCTGCAATAAAGACAGTCTGGAAAATCAAAAAGGCATTTCCCTAAAACGACTGCATGGCACTGAGAACCCCAGCCCGGCATGATTTGAGATGAAGGATATTTTCTCTATAGATCACTGTCCAAACCCAATGGAGAATGGAACCAACCCAGCGCCTGAGAAGGAAGTCTTCTGAGCACGGAGCATCTGGAAAGGAAGCAGAGAGGACATGATGCTCCTGTGGCCTTGGCAGCTCTGAGGGGACATGGACAACTCTGGTGTAGCAGCTGTTAAGTAGCAGAGAAAAATGTCATCTTGAGGCCAGAAGAACATGTGAGCCATGCCTGGGCCACGGAAAGAAACTAGCCGGGGGGCAATGGGCTTGAGAGTCACCACCAGAATCAGCACAAAACAACATAAGGATAATGAAGATGATGACAATAGTTTACAAATATAGAATTTATAATAATGTAATAGTTTATAATAGCATGTAATGACCATGGGCCAGGCATCGGGTTCAGCTCTTGATCCCCTTATCTCCTTTCACATTCACAGCATGATAAAGTGTGTTCTATGATGATAGCTGGTCCACATGGGGAAACTGAGTCTCCAGAGAAAGTCAATAACTTGCCCAGGACTAGCACGCAGCTGGTGAGACCGGGACGGGAATTCTCACCCGGTCTGTTTGAATTGCAAGTCCACCTTGCTAATGTTTATTTACCTGGTAACGGGAGCAAGTGAAACCAAAGAAACAGTGTTTTGGTTGCTTTTATTATGTATTTGTTTTAACCACCAGATTGCTGGTGTGACCAGGAAAACATAATATTACTGCAAAAATTAATTAGATTGTACTTTCATTCTTCGTTTATTCGTTCAAAAACATTTATTGAATGCCTACAGCTGAGCTCTGGGCGACGCTCACTGGTGTCCTTCCACTTTATGAAGTTCTCGTGTTAAAATTCTAAAATGTCCATGTCCTGATGGGCTCTTAAATGTTTCCTTTTGCTATTTCATTTCACTTTCCCCCTGCTACGCAATTCTGTTTTTCATAATTGGAGCTTTTATCTAATTCAAACTGAAGTAGAAGGCACCTTCTTCATTAGGTATGTTTACGTAATTGGACAAAAGGCCAACCTTA